AGGGCTGCAGCTTAGTGGCAGAGGATTTGCATAAAGCACATGGGAGGCCCTAGGTTTGATCCCTAGTGTCACACACACACAAAAAAATTCACTAGTCTGACTCAGTAAGAAAAGGCATTCCCAGCAGAAGTGATATCAGATACCAAGGCACAGAGCCAGAAAACCGTGGCACATTCAGAGATTTCAAGTACATTGATGTAGGTACAGCACAGAGCATAAGGAAAAATGGCAACAGGTGAGGGTGGAAAAGTCAACCCAAAGCAGATCAAGAAGGGCTGAGGATGAAAAATGCTCTAATGTGAATGTCTTATCTTGCTGGTGTTGAGATCACTAAAACCTCCTAAATAGGAAGGAGGGGAGTGATCAGCAAGGCAAGAAGGGAGCATTCATTCACCACGACACCAGCCCCTCTGGTGAACTCTTGACATCCATCCCCAGCAGACCCAGCCTCTCAGGGCAGAGGGTGCCTGTCCATTTTTTGCATCTCCAAGGCCTGGCACATGGTGAGTGCTCTACAAATGTACTTAGGGTTGTCTTACCCAGCAAGCTTCACTTTTCTTCTTTTTGTCCTTGTTTGAGGTGAATGGCAAATTACTGAAACAAATCTTACAGAGAAAAGAATACATTGTCAACCATTAGATATTCTGTTTCCTCTTATTGCTTAGGAACTCTGGACAACAAGTGCATGTTGAATGAAATAAAAGAAGTGAACGAACAAGGAAAATATTTTAAAAAGTGAGACAGAGTGACAGTATAAGGTTCTGAAGCTAGAAGAAACACTAGAGAAAATAATTAGAGCTGGGTGGTGGGGGGTGCATCCCTATTAAGCCAGCTACTTGGGAGGCTGAGGTAAATTCAAGGCCAGCATGCCCAACTTAGCAAGACCCCTGTCTCAAAATTAAACAACAACAAAAAAAAAAAGGTTGAGGATGTAGCTCACTGGTAGAGCAGAGTTCAAGCCAGAGTTCAAGTCCCAGTACTGTAAAAGGAAGAAGAAAGCACACATCCAGTAATTTAACAGAAATTCATAAATCACTGCAGCAAGGCTGGACTATATCAGGCTTTCTTGTGGCAGTTGGGTTGTTTTAGTAAAGCAAGACAATAGCTAGTTGTGTTTAAAAGATGGCTCCTGGGGACTGGGGTTGTGGCTCAGTGGTAGAGCACTTGCCTAGCATGTGTGAGGCACTGGGTTTGATTCTCAGCACTACATATAAATAAATAAATAAATAAATAAATAAATAT